CTGGACATAGAATTTACCCTTATAACCATTTTAAAGTGTGCAACTCAGTGGCATTAAGTACATTTGCAATGCTGTGCACCACTGTCTCATTCCACAACTTTTTCAGCACTCTTAATGGAAATCCCATACCCATGAAGTGGTCACTCTCCAGTCTTCTCTCCATTTCCTTGTCTTTTGTATTCACAGAACCCATCGGTTTAAGGCAGGTACATGGCCACCCAGGAAAACTACATTTCCCAGCCTTCCTTGAAGCAACACCATGTGATTTTGGGCCAATTGCATGTGAGCAACAGTGACATATGCCCTTTCTTGGTGATTCCCTGTCAGGGGAGAAGCAGGGTCTCCCCTTGACCTCTCCCCTCTCACTGGCTGGAGGGTGAACATGGATCTGCTGGTGCCTTGATCCTGGACTTTTAGCCTCCAGAACTGAGAGAAATGAATGTCTGTTGTTTTTAAGACACCCAGCCTATGGTATTTTTGTTACAGCATCCGAAACAACTGCCTGCCATCTGGGATATCCTTGACTGCCTGTAGCTCTCAGGAGAGTGGTTGGCTTTATGAAGCACTGGCCATGCACCAGCTCTGGCTGTCTGGTGATTCAGAGGTGATGTCCTTTAAGCCACGATACTGTTTCCCTTGCTGTCCTCATCCATTCCTATCCTAAGTTCAGATGGCACAGTCTGGATGGCAAGCTCAGATAGCGAGGGAGATGGCAGATCCAGCGTCTGGTGAGAGCCTGGTCCCTGGTTCACAGATGACATCTTCTCGCTGATGGCAGAGAGAACAGGGGGCTCTCTGGGGTCCCTTTTATAAGGGCACTGATCCCATTTTCCAAGCAGTAAACAGTGGGACAGTAAGGGTTACTTGTATTTGAGGGCCTTGTTGTTACAGCAGCTTAACATTTACCTTAACTAATACTCACAAAAGGAATATGCTTTCTTCATTAGCTGTTGTGAGGAGTCCATGAGGGAATATACATAATGCACCCAGCGTGTGCCTGGCACCTCTGGTTTGGGGAAGGAGATGCCCCTTCCCAAACTGCTTGGCATGTTCCTTTGGTAACTCTTGTCGCCAGACAAGAAGCCTTGTCTCCGGACTGGCTCGCTCTGTGGCCCCAGCTCCTGCCTGGAGGACCCTCTCACCATGGCTCCTCTCTCTCTCATTCTGGTAACTATTCCCTCCCCATGCTCCTTCCTGCTCCCCTAGCCCCCTTCAACCTGCTCACCTCCCTTCCTTAAATGCTCTTCCACCTATCCTATGAGTGCACCGCCGGCAGCCTGCTGCACAGGGCTGGGCCCAGTCTCTCACAAAACTTTTTATGAACCTCTTCTGACTACTAAGTGGTTCAAAATATCCACTCCGCCCAGGCAATTTTGCTAAGCTGGTGTCAGGAGAAGAAAGAGAGACACGGGAGAGCTCACAAATGAAGCAAATTGCTAAAAATCGGATTTTTACTGTCTTATCTAGGAGCCACATGAGAGGAGAAGAGATTGCAATTTCTGCCAGAACTTTCTCACATCCCTGAGTCTGGGACAAGGAAGTGGTGGAGAACAGGGGAGGGGTGGGTGGGAGAGAGAACAGGAAACGTGGAGACACAAGAGGGAGGGAGCAGCAAGAGATGGAGGAGAAAAAAAATGCATCGAAGGAAAGGACCACAGCCAAGCCAGAAAATAGGGGTGACACTGAAATGAGCCTCCAGGGGGTTTGGGTGCCAGACTCCAGCCAGGGTACCTGCAGGGGCTCTACCTCTTTCAAAGCCCCTTTGCCCATGGAGTCCAATTTTAAATGCCTAGCACGCTCAAGCAAAAGGTAGCAGCCACTCACCCATTTGATTGATGGGAACACTGGGGCTTGGAGAAAGGAAGCCTTTGCTCAAGATCATAGAGCTAATTATTCAGTCTTGGGAATGACCAAATGAAAGGCAGAGCTGGGGGATCTCTAGGACTTTTCTGTGCATCAGTCTGGTGGTTTCTATAGGCAGCAGATAGGCAGCCCCAGACATAGGCCAGGAACAGATGACAGCAGGTGCATGTCTACATGGCCAGGCTGGAGATCTTCCCTCCAGTAGCCTGATATTCTATCTTACCCAGAATCCTGTTGCATTGGTCACGCTCAGGCTAAGAAGACAGAAGGCATTGTAGGTATTTCAATAGGAAGGGATTTAATTCAGGGAATCAGAGCCTGCAGACCCACTGAGAGGGCTGGTAGGAGTCGTGCCCAGCATCCAAGAAGGCAGCATGGACAGGAACCATGGAGAATCACAGCCGATGCTTAATAATCTCAACTGTCTGCTCTCAACATCAAAGAAAGCGAATGGCAGGATGGTGCCAGGAAGGTGCCAGGCAAATCTCACAACCGACCTTTGTTGGCTATTGACAGAAACTGCCAGATCACAGCTGAATGTCTTTTGAGAGTCCCATTTCCCAGATTGGGAAATTCCCTGAGATAGCTCCTGCTTCTCTTCCACCTGACACATCTCCCACAGACGCCTCTCGGTTGGAGACTCACCCTACAGCCTGCTGACAAGGGAGTGTGAGACAAGTAGTTCCCAGACTTCCAGCCCCTGAGACACAAGATTCCAAGCTGTTAGCAGATAATCCAGAATACCGAAAAGGTGGAACACAGAGATGGTGGCCAGAAGGGTTCCAGGGCGTGGTGGTGGCATGCTGGCACAGAGGAGTGCGGTGATCCTGGGCCATAGAGGATTGGGCCCAGGTGTTGGAGAGAGCTCCCTTGTCCCATGAGGTCATAAGGTCATTCCTTCCCAGACATCTCTTGGATTGAGTTCCTCTTTTCAGAGCAACAAATGTTAGGTGACAAAGTTGAGCCCTGACGATGAAGGGGATGTTTAAAAGTAAAGAATGGAATAGTTTTCAACAACAAAAGAAATGAGCTATCAAACTTTGGAGGACGCAGAGGAATCTTCAGTGCATGGCGCTGTGTGAAAGAAGCCAGTCTGAAAAAGCCACAGATTGTATGGTTCCAAGTATATGACATTCTGGAAAAGACAAAACTATAGAGATAGTCAAAAGAACTGCAGGGGCTTCGGGGAAAGGGGTGAGAGAGGAAGAGGTGAGCACAGGGGATTTTTAGGTTGGTGAAACTATTCTTTGTGATACTATAATGGTGAATCCCTGAAATCTTGCAAAGGTCCAAATCCATGGAATGTGCAATACCAGGAGTGAACCCTAATGTAACCAGTGAACTTCAGTTAGTAATAATGTATCATTGTTGCCGCATCAGTTGTAGCAAATGTAGCACATTAATGCAGGATGTTAATCATAGGAGAAGTTGGGGGAGGTATATGGAAACCGTCTGCACTATTTGTACAGTTTTTCTGTAAACCTAAAACTGCTCTAAAAATAAAACCTATTGATTAAAAAAAGAAGCCAAGAATGGCTTCTTGGGGCTGGAATGTGCTCCAGTCTGCAGTGCCCTCTGATGGCTTTGAGCTGCTGCAGGGGTTCTAGGGATTGAGCTTCCAGGTCCCGTGGCTGGCAACCATGAACCTCACGTAGTTTCCAGCAGACCTGGAAACTAGCCTGGCCGGCTTCCCTTGAGGGTCTTTTTCCAGGACCTGGGACGCCCTCGCCAAGAACCATCTTAGTCTCTCTTGGATTATTAAGCAAACTGAGGCTCAGTTTCCCTGACTGTAAGTAGGGCTATAATGTGTAAATTCAGGATAGCCTATGTTGTGCTACATAACAAACAAGCCCAGATTGCTCAGCTAGAAGAAGTGGTTTCCAGGTTCAGACATGGTGCTTGTTACCAGTCTGGGAAATGGGACTTTCAAAAGACATTCAGCTGTCATCTGGCAGGCCCAGGTTTGCGGCAGGTCAGCGTGGCCTGGGTGGATACTTCTGAGCCTCCACTGCAGAGGCAGCAAACACACAAGATGCCGACAGCTCTGCACGCGTGGCCACCTGCCTCCTGCCCGGAGCCGAAAAGACAGACAGGATGTTCCAAACCCAGCGTCTCCCAGCGTCCACTCTCCCCTCCCAGAGCAAACCCTTTTCTGTCCTTCTCTCCTTCCTGCCCCACATTCCTTCAGAGCTGGAGGTTAATGAACTCATCACTGATGAGTGGGGACATGTCTGCAGAGGTTTTAATTACAGCAGAAAATTGGCCCAATTGGTATTTAATATAGAATAAGTGTCGAGTTAACCGGTCGGGGCAGGAGAAGCTGAGGTTTGCATGGAGGTAACCTGAACCCTGACTGCCTGGTTTTCCCTAGCAGCCTCCGAGGGCAGGAGAGTGGGCCCTGTGGCTCTGGCTCTCCAGAGGCTGCAAGGGGACCTCAGAGACCCTGAAAGAGGAAAGGGAGCAGCCTGGAGTGAAGAGGGGAGAAAATATTTTTGAAGCTTCATCTCAGGGCTCCACTCTCTGGCTTCAGGATTTTTCTCTTACAACATTTCATCTCCAGCTCTTACAAGTGGCAGTGGGAAAAGCACTGGGGCTCAAGGCATCTGGGTATTGGAGAGCTGGGGGCCTGGGGAGATCCGCCAGGGCTGGAAGGATTGGTCCCTGGGATGGGCAAGGGGGAGCTGAAGGAGCTGAACTTTCTAAGTGAGGATCGAGAGAGGAGCAAGCTCCCTGATCCTCTCATCCAGCCCCCCGTGTCCCCCACAGGGTAGCTGATGGAGGGGAATCTTCCAGGAGAGCCAGTGCTCAAGAAAGCAAGAAGCAAACATCCCACACAACCAGTCACAACAGGACAGCAGAAACCAACCTCACCCAGAATCCACTGCAGGTTATAAATTTTCCATAGACTCCAGTCCCCCCAGGGTGACTTCACTCTGCGCAAGGGGACACTTGGAAATAACAGCAGAAACCCTGGAGTGAGACCACCCAGACTCTGGCTCTGTCACTTGCTAGCTAAGCAACTGAGGGCAAGTGATGGAACCTGTGCCTCAGTTTTCTCATCTGTAAAATGGGGTTGTAACTCTAATGGTTAGGATGGGCTGCAGAAACAAAGAAACTCCAAATCTCAGTGGCTGAAAATCACAAGGTTTATTTTTTGCTCAGACTTCAGGTCTGTTTGGGGTCACTGGGAGTGGGGTTCTGCTCATCGTAGTTCCAGTGGAGCACATTCTGGAACATTCTGGAACATTGCTTGCTGTCACATCAGAATGAACTAAGAGCTTTGGAAGGTCATGCACGGGCAATTGAAGGCGTTAGCCTGGGAAAGATTCGTGTCAATTGCACTCACAGCTCATTGGTTAGAACTAGTCACGTGACCTGACCCTCAAGGTGGGCAGGAAGCACAGTTCTTGGCTGGCAGCAGGCATGGGCTCCCACTTACAGACTGTTGTGAAAATTAAAGAAGTTCATGAATGTGAAGGACTGAGGACAGTGCCTGGCACACTGAGCTATTTACAGGTTCCTGGTTTGGAGTTTTATTGGGAAAAGTGACTTCACCCAGGTGCCTGATGCTGGTTGAGCAGGGTCACGATGGACTAGTGGCTGAAAGCCTGCAAGGTGTGCTCCACGCAGGCTCTAGGTATGCCCCAGGTGTGACCCAGGTGTGTGCCAGGGATGCCCCAACACTGAGGCACAGGTCAGGACACACCTGTGTGGGACCCTGAACTCAGCCCCCAGAGCTCCCTCGTGCATTCTGGGGAGGGAGATGTGCACTAGGCAGCTCCACCCCTGGACCAACAGGCACCCCTGCCCTCACAGAGATCCACCCTGCACCCGTGCCATCCAGCTGCCTGGGCAAGAGCAAGTGGTCGTGTCAACTTCAGCCTGCAACCCTGGACCTCCAGAAGGTGGGGGCTTGCTGCCACCCCTCACTGTCCTTCATGTATTGATTGTCTTTTGGCCAGGACATTCCCTCAGAACCATTTCACTCACTCAGTTCTTGATCCAGGCAGAGGAGGTGACAGGTGATGGGTGAGAAAACAGGCTCCAAAAGGCAATGTCACTTGCTCGGGTTCTCCCAGCAGAAAGTGGTGGAGGCAGGATTCGAGCCCAGGCTGCTGTCGCCAGAACTTTAAAAAATGCCAGCAAGCTGCCTCTCCAAGGCAGCCTCTGTGTCCTCCATGGGCTGCCCACATGTCCCAGGGCCCCTGGTTTCTCCATCACCCAAACCAGAGCTCACTTCAAAGCTGGGAACTGAAGGGCCCCCTGAGCAATCCACATCATGCAGGGGCCCAAAGAGCACCGGCGACTCCAGTGAAGCCCAGCTGCCCTCCGTGGACCCAGCCTGAGCAGGGCGGCCGGGGCCAGGCGGTACACCCCCGCAGCTCTGGTTTCTTTAAGGACAGTGGCAAAGCAGCAAAGCAGTGCGGGGGCCTAGGGCCAGCTCCTAAATCCTCCCCTGGGCGCCAGTGGGGATGCTGGGGACGGCGGGAGGCCACGGCCAACCAGAGGGAGGCTCTCACTCAGGGTCTGTAGCCGCGACAGTGGACCCCCAGACAGGGGAGAGAAATGGGTGGTGTCCTGGCACACGGTGGCAGGCAGAGGGGAAGCAGCCGCCGCTTGCCCTCCTCGGGGACGTCACCCCCACGTACACATCGCCCTGTCCATCCTCCATTGTGGGGTGGGGTGCCCAGATGCTCCTCAAAGTGCTCCAGCTTCCCAGGCCTCTTTTGCTGCGAGCTAAGTAAGCCCTGCCTGGGGCCGCCTTGCCCAGAAAGGGCAGGTAATGAGTTAAAGAGGATTTAGCGATGGGTCCGCCTGCTGAGAGATTAGATGAGATCAATATACAGAGGGCCGGGCGAAGATCCCCTCTTGGAGGCTCCTTAATACCCGTGACCCTGAGAGGTAATTAACGGCCTTGCTGGAGTGAGCCGGGGCCCTTCCCCCACCGCCTCTACCCTGCACTCGGCAGCCCCTCCAAAGCTGGGGCTGGGGTCCCCACTCCCTCGTACTCCTCCACACCAGCCCTGCAAGTTCAGAATCTGGACCTCGGTCCCACTGCTCCCCGGAGAGCCCACAGGGTAAATGGCAATAGTCACTATCATTTATTAAGTGCTTGCTCTGTGCCAGTAGCTGTCTAAAGCTTTATATAGCTTCTGAGTTCTCAGCATAGATTTAGGAGGTTATCATGAAGTCTGCTCTGTAGATGGAGAAACTGAGGCATGAAGAAAGGAGGGAGCTTGTTCAAGGTCACGGCACCAGTAAATGATGAATCTGAGATTCAAATCCAGGGATTTGAGGGCCAGAGCTTAGGCCCCTTAAACTTTCTGGACTTAACAGTTTCCTTTGTTTTCCCCCCGCCCACTAACTGGCTCCAACTCCCAGACAAGACAACACCAATGACACCAGCGTATTGACTGTTCCCCTGTCATTTTTCTGGCACCTTTAACCATCTGGAACTCAACCGAGTATCGAAATGCAAGGGAAAACTGTGCACCAAAGTGCACATCACAAAGTCCATGTATCAACAAGAGCATGTGACCCAGGAGGTCTTCAAGCTCCAGGAAGACAAGGATCACATTAATCTTGTCTTGAGAAGTATAAGATCTGGCATCCAGACATAGGCTGAGTTCAGCAGCTCAGAGAACACACAGCGGTCACGGAAGGAGACTATGGCAGAAAAGCCAAGGTGTGCTCGCCGGAGCCATACAAGCTTCACTCTGGAACAGGTTCACGCCCTGAAAGATATATTCGAAGAGACCATGAACCCAGGTCGGATCACCATGAATGAACTGATCTCAGTTACCCGTCTGGATGAATCCGTAATAAAGGTGTGCCCCTGAACGTATCTCTAGGTAGCACACCTCACCCAGAGCCTCCCACACTTTTCATCAGCAGGCAGTTCCTACTTATTGAGTCATTGCTATATGCCAGGGCAGATGTTAAGTACTTCATATTTTTATTCTCATGACCACCACTTTATTGAGGAATCCTAAGCTCCCAGAGAGGAACTGTCTTCCTAGGATAATAAACACAAGAGCTAGAATTTGAACCCACACCTTCTGACTCCACACCCACAACGCTACACAGGACCCCTTGGGGGTTGGATCTCAGGCACTCCCCTTTGGGGCTGTTTCTGTTTATTTCTAGCTTCTGCTGAATCAGGACATTCATAGTCATCTAGAACCTTGCACCGAAGGTCCACAGAGTATTCAGTGCATAAGAACCGCATGTTAGACCCCGCACTTCACGTTCTCAGACTCCAGAATCCTCTATTTGAAAACCCAGAGCTCACCAATACCTTTTCTTGACACCTCCCCATCTGTTCTATCCTACACGTTACAGACACAATCGCACACTCCCTCTGCCCTCTGGAGCCCAGGACAGCAGAGGATAGAAAGAAATTCCCTTGTTTAGACAAATAGGGAGAGATGCAAGACAAGCTTTCTCACATCAAGCAACCTGGTTCCTGAGGAATAGGAGGGCCCCCCTTGGGACCCATGCCCCTTTATTCTCCTGATCGTTCCTGAGGAATAGGAGGGCCCCCCTTGGAACCCATGCCCCTTTATTCTCCTGATCACCCCCTCCCTCCCCAGACTTGGTGCAAGAACCAGCGTGTCCAAAGGAGGAAACAGCAGCGACCCCCTCAACCCAGTCCATCACTAGAAGCACCAAACAAAACTGCCTCCATGAAAGAAGAGGAAAGCCCTTCAGCCGAGACGTCTGCAAACACTAGTCCCACGAGTCTAGACATTTCAGGTCACTGCAACCATGAGTCACCTTCGCCTCCTGGTCTCAAGCAACCCAGAGGGGCTGGTGCCTCTGGGGGGAGTTCATCAGAGGATCCTCAGCCTTCTGATCTCCAGCAGACATGTCTGGGAGCCTCTGATGCTCCTTGGGCCTCCATTCCCTACGACATAAATCAATTCATACAAGCATATGCCTTACCCATGGAAGATGACTCCGCAGGTCTATGCCAATACCTCCTCCCAAAGCCCCCCCGCTGGGGGCGTAGGGCTGGCACTGACCTTCAGTGTGACGGCTGACACACCCACAGCTCCTGAGAAAGGTCTGTGATCCAAATCCTGAGCAACCAAGAGACATTTCCAACACCTTTAATGAGTTGACTCCAGTCTAAATGGATCAGGGCCCAGGAATTTATCTTCTTCTGTAAGCAGGAAAATAAAAAAATCACTCTACCTTCTGTCATTGCCTGCAACTTCTGTCCTCTGAGTGCTTCCTTAACCGAACTTTAGCATCAAAGACAGTTATCAGGTGCCTTTGGAGAAGAGAGTGGAAATGAGCTAGTTTTCCTTGGGTCCTGGCGTGCCCCTGCTGGGCTAGCTCCCTGAATGCAGCCCAACTAAATGTGTTCCCCATGGACCATCTTTGTCTCTTATAAAGAAAATTTAGGAGAGTGACATCAGCAGACGGTGGACTAGGAAGTCGCTAAGACCTCCACTGAAACAATGATTTAACGATCAGGCGCTGATGAAAACAGCCATGAGTGCTCTGGAGAGCAATTGAGAAGCTGCAGCAACCCAGTGGAGCCCAAAATGTGAAGGTGGCCACATAGAAAAGCATAGGAGGCGTTTTACCTGTGGCACCCATCCCCCAGTCCTGCATGGCTTTCTACCGAGAGGGATCCCTTGGTGCAACCCATCCTTCAGGAGCCCTCGTGGCTGTCAGAATGCCAGCAGCTTTTGCTGCCCCTGGACTCCCTCAGTCTTGGCCTGGGTTGATGCCAGCTGATGGAGCTGCCCAGAGTCCAAGCCCTGAGCCTCTGCTGGGGGAGGTCCTCGAGTAGGCACGACCCCTGGTGAACCCGTGAGCTGGACCTCGGCAATCAGGGGCTTCTCACCTGCTCCCATGTCCTTAGGATGTGCATCCTGCTTGCTGTCCTGCTCCCGGAAGCTGCCCCAAGGGCACAGCCATGAGATGTGCTGAGACCATCTGGACCATATACATGACTGCGCCCAGTTCAGGCCTCTCTATACACTCTTAAGATTGTGGAGGAAGGGTGCAGAAATGGATCGGGCTTGCCGTCACCCACACAAGCCTTGTAGGACACTCTGCAGGAACCCATGCCCCTTTATTCTCCTGATCACCCCCTCCCTCCCCAGACTTGGTGCAAGAACCAGCGTGTCCAAAGGAGGAAACAGCAGCGACCCCCTCAACCCAGTCCATCACTAGAAGCACCAAACAAAACTGCCTCCATGAAAGAAGAGGAAAGCCCTTCAGCCGAGACGTCTGCAAACACTAGTCCCACGAGTCTAGACATTTCAGGTCACTGCAACCATGAGTCACCTTCGCCTCCTGGTCTCAAGCAACCTAGAGGGGCTGGTGCCTCTGGGGGGAGTTCATCAGAGGATCCTCAGCCTTCTGATCTCCAGCAGACATGTCTGGGAGCCTCTGATGCTCCTTGGGCCTCCATTCCCTACGACATAAATCAATTCATACAAGCATATGCCTTACCCATGGAAGATGACTCCGCAGGTCTATGCCAATACCTCCTCCCAAAGCCCCCCCGCTGGGGGCGTAGGGCTGGCACTGACCTTCAGTGTGACGGCTGACACACCCACAGCTCCTGAGAAAGGTCTGTGATCCAAATCCTGAGCAACCAAGAGACATTTCCAACACCTTTAATGAGTTGACTCCAGTCTAAATGGATCAGGGCCCAGGAATTTATCTTCTTCTGTAAGCAGGAAAATAAAAAAATCACTCTACCTTCTGTCATTGCCTGCAACTTCTGTCCTCTGAGTGCTTCCTTAACCGAACTTTAGCATCAAAGACAGTTATCAGGTGCCTTTGGAGAAGAGAGTGGAAATGAGCTAGTTTTCCTTGGGTCCTGGCGTGCCCCTGCTGGGCTAGCTCCCTGAATGCAGCCCAACTAAATGTGTTCCCCATGGACCATCTTTGTCTCTTATAAAGAAAATTTAGGAGAGTGACATCAGCAGACGGTGGACTAGGAAGTCGCTAAGACCTCCACTGAAACAATGATTTAACGATCAGGCGCTGATGAAAACAGCCATGAGTGCTCTGGAGAGCAATTGAGAAGCTGCAGCAACCCAGTGGAGCCCAAAATGTGAAGGTGGCCACATAGAAAAGCATAGGAGGCGTTTTACCTGTGGCACCCATCCCCCAGTCCTGCATGGCTTTCTACCGAGAGGGATCCCTTGGTGCAACCCATCCTTCAGGAGCCCTCGTGGCTGTCAGAATGCCAGCAGCTTTTGCTGCCCCTGGACTCCCTCAGTCTTGGCCTGGGTTGATGCCAGCTGATGGAGCTGCCCAGAGTCCAAGCCCTGAGCCTCTGCTGGGGGAGGTCCTCGAGTAGGCACGACCCCTGGTGAACCCGTGAGCTGGACCTCGGCAATCAGGGGCTTCTCACCTGCTCCCATGTCCTTAGGATGTGCATCCTGCTTGCTGTCCTGCTCCCGGAAGCTGCCCCAAGGGCACAGCCATGAGATGTGCTGAGACCATCTGGACCATATACATGACTGCGCCCAGTTCAGGCCTCTCTATACACTCTTAAGATTGTGGAGGAAGGGTGCAGAAATGGATCGGGCTTGCCGTCACCCACACAAGCCTTGTAGGACACTCTGCAGGTGCAAAATGTTCAAAATAATTTATGCAAATGAGTTAACCTCCGTTGTTTACCTTTAAAACCCCTCAACTTTGTCTGCGGCTTGGAGGACAATTTAGGGTGCTACCTCAATCTGCGTCTCTTTGGATTGCCATACCTAAATTCCCAAATAAATGCAACTCACTCAGTGTTTCAAAAAAAGAAAACAGATCTGGCATCCGGTGGCTGGTCAGTACAATGCTGTGGTGCTGAATTGCACTAATGGCTATAGCCCTTACTTACAGCCAGTTAACTCATAATTTAGACACAATAGTAATGAGATCAGTTATGTAGAATGGCACAGGGAATTACTCCACGGGGACCAACCAGCAGTGCTGAAGGCAAGGGATGGGAAGAACACCCACCCCCCACCACCACCTACTAGCTGACCTCATTATTAGGATGGTTAGTATGATGGTTACAGAAAATGATGTCTGTCACATGGTTAGCATGGTCCATGGCATCTAGTAAGACTTCAGACATTAACCTGAAGTTTCGAGGGTGCTAATGGGAAAAGGATATAAGCAGACGTAAGACCTCCAAAAAGCATGGCAATGAGAACAATCTTGTGAGGTTGTAGGACTGTTGAGCAAGATCAGAAATTGTTTTGACCACAAAAAGAGCTGAAATCCCGTTATCTCTAGAAAGCCAGAATGGGGATTTGAAAAACTACCTAAACCATTGATAAACAATAACAAGAACTGACACTGATCAACCCCTGTGCATTAGCACCTCCCAGCAAGCAATGAAGCCAAGTACTATGGTCACCCCATTTATAGATAAGGAAACTGAAGCTCAGAAAGGTGAATGAACCTGCCCAAGGTCACACAGCCTATTGCAATCAGGCTGGGACTTGGGCTCGACTTTGACCCCAAAGTCCTGCCCTAGAAGGATAAACACAGAAAGAACAACAGTGATTTCCTCAAGGCTGGAAATGTGGGCGAACTTCATTGTCTATTGGTACACACTGTGTGCTTTCCGCCTGCAAAAAGAAAAAAAAAAGAGCTAAATATTTTTTTTATGTCATGAATGTACAATTACTTGAACATTATGGTTACTAGACTCCCCCTATTATCAAGTCCCCCCACATACCCCATTACAGTCACTGTCCATCAGCATAGTAAGATGCTATAGAATCACTACTTGTCTTCTCTGTGTTGTACAGCCCTCCCCATGCCTCCCACCCCCCATTATGTGTGCTAATAGTAATGCCCCTTTTCCCCCCTTATCCCTCCCTTTCCACCCATCCTCCCCAGTCCCTTTCCCTTTGGTAACTTTTAGTCCATTCCTGTGTTCTGTGAGTCTGCTGCTGTTTCATTCCTTCAGTTTTTTCTTTGTTCTTATACTCCACAGATGAGTGAAATCATTTGATACTTGTCTTTTTCCGCCTGGCTTAATTCACTGAGCATAATACCCTCCAGCTCCATCCATGTTGCTGCAAATGGTAGGATTTTTTTTCTTCTTATGGCTGAAAAATATTCCATTGTATATATGCACCACATCTTCTTTATCCATTCATCTACTGATGGACACTTAGGTTGCTTCCATTTCTTGGCTATTGTAAATAGTGCTACGATAAACATAGGGGTGCATATGTCTTTTTCAAATTGGGCTGCTGCATTCTTAGGGTAAATTCCTAGAAGTGGAATTCCTGGGTCAAATGGTATGTCTATTTTGAGTTTTTTGAGGAACCTCCATACTGCTTTCCACAATGATTGAACTAGTTTACATTCCCACCAGCAGTGTAGGAGGGTTCCCCTGTCCCCACATCCTCACCAACATTTGTTGTTGTTTGTCTTGGACGTTGGCCATCCTTACTGGTGTGAGGTGATATCTCATTGTGGTTTTAATTTGCATTTCTCTGATGACTAGAGATGTGGAGCATCAAGAGCTAAATATTTTTAAATCCTCCCTAAATATAACCCTTGTGATAAGAGGCAAAGCTTAAAGGAAGAAGCCTTTTTGGTGAGGTGTCCCCCTGGGGGAAGTCTGCAAGTTTCATAGGTGATTTAGGTCTGTTCATCTGGAAGGCTGGGGGCCATTACCACCCTGGAGCTGTGATCCTGCTCAGGCAAGTAACCAGCTTTTAGGATGGGTTTGCAGCTGACCCCACTCCCCTCCCTCCCTCCACCTCAAACCTGCTCCTCCTGCTGGCTGAATATGAAGCCAGAGAGGCAGGGAGGCCCCCCAGTTTGCTCCAGCACCCCAAACCTTCAAGGATCTTGAAGGCCACAGAGGAAGTAGCTTATCCTACCCTCCTTAACCTGGAATTCAGAACTAGCCAGCCATTCTACTGTGGGAACCCCTTTTAGAGAAATATTTGTTCTCCCTCACAAGACGGTACAAACAACTTTGAAAAGGACACAAAGTCGGAAACAATCTAAGGTTTAGCCACAGGAATGAATTACATGAATTATGGTCCTTATGGAAAATGAGACCAAAAAAAAAAAAAAGAGGTGTTAAAGGCACCAAAATACCTATTGTGGTTGTAAGGGGTTGATTTGCATCCCCCCTGCCCCAAAAAGTACATCCAGTGTCCCATGTTCTAATCTCCAGGACCCGTGATTCTGTCCTTATTTGGAAGTAGGCTCTTTGAGGATGGAATTAGTTAAGGATGTCAAGATGAGATGATCCCGGATTTTAGGGTAGGTCCAAAATCCAAGGACTAATGTCCTTATAAGAGTCGGGAGAGGGGAGGTTGGAGATAGGCAGGGAAGAAGGCCAAGGAATGCAAGGAGCCATCAGAAGCTGGGAGAGGAAAGCAAGGATCCTCCCATACAGGCTCTGGAAGGAGCCCGGCCCTTGATCTCAGATTCTGACTTCCAGAACTGGGAGAAATATATTTCTATTGTTTTAAGCCACCCAGCTTGTTGGCACTGTGTTGCAGCATCTCCAAGAAACGAATACAGTGACAAAAGCAAGTTTCAGACCAATGTGGGCTGTATGATAATAGTATGTGTTAAAATGTTAAAAAGATATGTAGCAGCTGTGGTCAATGCTGTGCCAATTGTCCTGGGGTCACCTGAAGCTTTAGCAGACAATTCCCCTACAGGCTCCCAGCATCCCACCCCTAGTAGCTGTATCCCCACCTTGGCAGCTTTTCGGGGGAGGCAGTTAGTGCCCCCAGGAGCAGCCCTCAATCAGGGAGGGGTGGGAGCCGCTGGGTATGCCCCACCTCCCTCACCTGGAGGGGATAGCGCGGAGATGTGCAACCTACAACCACCCTCTGAGTGTCCCAGAGCTCCCCAGCAGGACTGACCCCCAGGTGCCCACAAGGGTCACCTGCTCATTAACACCCCAACCTGTTGGCTTCCTACTTTCCCTGTTGTGTTAGTTATCTAATCCTGCTTAATTACACAAACCTTGGTGGCTTAGATTAACAACTACTCTTGACCTCTCAGATTTCTATGGGTCAGGCATTCTGACAGGGCCCAAGGGGAAGGGCTGCTCTCTGCTTCCCTATGTCTGAGACCTCAGATGGAAGCCTCAACGGCTGAGGCTGGAGTCCTCTGAGGGGTCAGTCACCCGGTGCATGACTGGTGGCTGCTGGCTGAAGACCTATGTATTGTCTGGAACCCCCACATTTGTCCCCTCACGTGGTCTGGGCTTCCTTACAATACGGCAGCCAGGTTCCAAGGGCAAGGATTGAGAGAGAGAGAACTAGGTGGAAGCCTTCTTTCCTTTCATGACCCAGCCTCTAAAACCTCTCAGAATCACTTCCTTTTTACTCCATTGGTCACATCAGTCACAAGCTCTGCCCAGATTCAAGGAGAGAGAGCACATACGTCCCCTCTTCTGGGAGAAGCATCAGCATATTATGAGAAGAGCTTGTGCCATGTGATAAATCCAAGGGGCAGCCATCTTTGAGAACCCCAACCTGCCCTTCCTTTCCCCTTACCCTACCCCCTACAGCTATTTCCCAGGATCACTTCCCAGGACAGCAGACTGCCCCCACATCCTTGCTTGTCTCAGGGTCTATGTTTTTGAGGGAACCCAAATTAACACATCACACAAATCAGTACTACATTTATGTAGGTGGGAATAGGCATATATAAATGTTCAGAGAAAGATCCATAAGAATATACCCCAAAGAGACACAACAGCGGGTGCTTTAATGAGGGAGCTGCGATAGAGGTTAGGAGGGCTCATCTGTAATATCTGGATATTTTTGCCCCAAGGAGGGATTTCCTGCATCCCCTGTGGAATGTAAAAGAGGGAGGGGCAGGATCAGGAGGTGCTTGTGACCTCAGGACGCACTAGCCCTGCAGCAGCTGTGACTCACTGAACACACACAAGAAGCAGGAAGCCAGGAGACAGAGGACAGGCTCAGGCAGTCTCCCTGACCCTCCCTGGGGAGCCACCAGCCCATTTTGCAGCTGAGCTTCGGACTCGGCTGGTTCAAGGGTCCAGGATTCCTGGGAGACTGGAAAATGCCCTTACCTGCAAGAGGCACTTGAGGCTCAGTTACCGAATTTATTAAATGGGTATGATAATGGTTACCTCACAAAGTTGCTGTGAGGCCCACACATGATTACACATCAAAGTGATGGGTACGGGCACCTAAGAACAGTAACAGTTGTACTGAGTGACAACTGTGTATCAGAAGTTGTTGTGCTTTTTTGACTTAATTCATGTAAATCCTCACAATAACACTGTAACATAGAAACTATTATTGTCTATGAAACCAGAGAAGGTGAGGAATGAGGCAAGACCACACAGCCAGGCTGCCAGATCATTGACTTTCCTTTCCTTTGGACTCAAAACACCGTGCTCTTTCTACCCGTCAGCCCATGTCTCCCATGGAAGAAACAAATGAACAAACAGGAAAAGTCGGAGCTCGAGAAAGACTGTTTTCGTGGGCTTTTTTTGGGAACCTAGGTGGGCTGGCATACCCCAGGGGCAGGTCCTCTTTCCCTCTCCATCCTCAGCTGCTGTCTGGATTCCTCTCAGACAGTCCTCTCCAAACCAGGGACTTGGG